GTGTGTGTTATTGGTCTGTTTCTATGTATTGATAATGATTATGTGGCTTATTTCAGAAGTCAACCTGTCAGTCTGTAATGATGATTTCTCTATTGGGCTCATCCAGCAGTTAATATTTTTTGAATGCCACATTATGAAGAATGTAACTTTTGGTAAGACATTTTTGATAGAAAAAATTCTTCTTAACATTTGAATAACATGTAGTTCCTATTATGCACTCATTACACCATTTCTCATACTTTATGTTTTTTCCCATCTTGCAGATGAGTTTCACTGGACCAAGAGCTGTACGAGGATGCTGATTTAGGATTTGGGACTTCTTCAGTCACCTTTTGTCCATCATGTTTGTGACAGCATACCTTGCATTTATAGTCCTGATGGGACTGTGCGTGACTTTAGAGATCACAGCCCGCCATCTCACCTCGTCCCAGGCCATACAGACAGCCGTCGCCAATCCGGCATTTCGTCGGTTCCAGAAGCTCTTTCTGAAGGCGTATCTCCTGGCCCTCTGGGCAGACTGGCTGCAGGGACCTTACCTTTATAAACTCTACCGACATTACAACTTCCTGGAGTCTCAGATTGCCATCCTGTACGTATGCGGTCTCGCTTCTTGCGTGCTATTTGCTCCAGTGGCCGGCTGGCTACCGCAGTTTCTGGGACGGAGACAGACGTGTCTCCTCTTCTGCCTGGCTTATTCTGTCTGCTGCATTACCAAGCTGTCACAAGACTATTTTATGCTTATACTAGGACGTGTTTTAGGAGGCCTGTCCACCTCTTTGCTAACCACTGTGTTTGAGGCCTGGTATGTGCACGGTCACGTTGACGTCCATGACTTTCCCAAAGAATGGATTCCTGTTACCTTCGGTAAAGTCGCAAATTGGAATCATGGACTGGCGGTTGGTGCCGGGCTGGTGGCGAACTTGTTCGCCGAATGGCTTGGGTTGGGACCGGTTGCTCCGTTTCTCTTGGCGATCCCCAGCCTTGCTGTCTGCGCCTGGTTTGTGTTGTCCGAATGGGGTCAGGAGGATAGACAAGAGGGTGCCAGTGGAGACAAAAATGGCCCCCTTCTCAACCCTCTAAATGCCCCCAAGTTGCAAATGTCAACATGGGTCCGTGTTTGGCGAAGCTGTCTGGACGGGCTGCGCTGCTTGCTGTCGGACCGCCATGTTATGCTTTTAGGTGGCGTTCAGGCTCTTTTCGAAAGCGTGCTCTATATTTTTGTATTTCTTTGGACTCCTGTACTGGACCCACACGGCCCGCCATTAGGAATTGTGTTTTCCTGTTTGATGGCGGCCAGCATGGCTGGTTCCACACTTTTCCGGCTGGCCACGTCGGCCCCGTATCGACTCCAACCTGGTCACCTGCTCTGCCTAGCTGTTCTGCTAGCTTTCTTCTCCTTCTTCATGCTGACATTCTCCACTGTGCCCGGCCAGCCCCGGCCGAGGGAATCTCTGCTCGCCTTCCTTCTGCTCGAACTAGCCTGCGGGCTTTATTTCCCGGCGGTGAGTTTTCTCCAAGGCCGAGTGGTTCCCATGGAGCACAGAGCCGCCGTGCTGGCGTGGTTTCGTTTGCCTCTTCACCTCCTGGCTTGTCTGGGGCTGCTGGCTCTTCACGGGGAGGTGTCTGGGTCCGGTGCGGGGGAGGCTGGCAGTGGCACCAGACACATGTTTGCAGGATGTGCGGGGACGATGCTGGCCGCTCTGCTTGCTATCGTCAGCCTTTTCACCTTGGGCAGGAATGATGCCGACCTGAGACTAGAGGGGACCAAATTAGAGGGAGAAATCTGAGTTGTAGAAAGACAGACACTGGATTTCAATAGGAGGACTTTGGTTTTATATGCTTTGTTTTTCTTTATGAATGTTGTCTTAGTTAAATAATTGTATTTATGGGTAAAACAAATCATAAAGTACATGGTTTAATTTTTTTCTTCTGATTGCAGTTAATAGAACCAATAAACTTTAAAATCTGCAAATGTTTTTACTTTTATTTTTTTTTTATCAAATCAGCCATCCAGCCAGAAAAGCAAGAACAGATGTTTGATTTTATGCTTAATAGGAATGTAATCTTGGATTTAATCTTTTTTGTCGACTTTTGTTTGAATTAGAACAGGTTTTGTATTTCTTTTTAGAACTGATTGATCATAGGACTCATTGATCTGAGCTTATTCTTCTCAGTTTTTGAGTAAAAACAAAAGCATTTTTTGAGGATAATTTTGGCTCCAAAAATATTGAGGTGCATAAGGTCAGATCAGTGAGGCCTACGATCAATCAGTTCCAAAAAGAAAAACAAATCCTATGCTAATTGAAAGAAAACAAGTTGATAAAAAGATTGAATCCAATATTTAGTAATAACATAATGAAAGATATACAAGCGATATTTTGTAGCCAGGGCTTTTCTTTTTTTTTTTACCAGGAACACCTGCTAATGTAACAATGTAGAAAACTTTTTTTTTTAAACTACAAAAATTTTCACATTTTTGGTTGGGAGTTGTTTTACCCTTTGTGAGCAAAGTCAGCGAGTTTTTGTCCAATGCGATAACATTAACTAGCCTTTTTGAGAACAAGAATATCCTCTCTGGGTTAAAATGACCAAAACACAACAAGAGTGTTGTTTAGAATGGCGGTAACCTGGGGTTAAGTGCAGTGTGAAAAGCCATAGAAATGCTCAGCGTGCAATGTATTTCTTATTTTTATAAATATTTTTAAAAATTAGACTATAATCTATAGCTTGTGCTACACACAGACCATACAAAGAGGTTAATGTAAGCATTTTCATTTATTGAAATCAATGGCAACTGAACAAATTAAGGCTTGTGAACAAACATCTTAGAAAGCACTGTAAATAAATCATATTTTAAAAATATAAAAATAAAAATTACAAAATAAAAAAATCTATTGTGAATGACCACAGACCAATAAATTTCTCATGTATTAATTTAACTTCCAGTCATTCCGTTTCAGAGTAGGGATCACCACTTATCGCAATTTATAACAAACATTCCAGATTAAGTACATTTCTATGTGAGAATCAACGTGCTGAGATATTAATCGCAGACATTGTACTGTACATTTGTTGTAGTTATAGTAATGAAAATAACTAACAGCAGTACATAAAATTAAATCAGAGTATTAATGCATCTTCACAGTTGTATATGGCTTGTGTGTGAGGTGGTATAGATCTCTCATACAATGTATATAATTCAGGTATATTCTTGTGTTTACTGCATGGCAAACATTTAATGGTCTCTCACAGTTTATTCTAAGTCAAGCTGAGTTTAATGTAAAAGTGAGCATTACTGGAAAACACAAAGAAAGAAAAACCTATCATTTTCTTTGGTTATGAACCCATTCAATTAAACAGTGGCATGCTTAAAATGGATATACTAGTTTAAATGATCATTTGATTTTTATTACAAGTAGTTCTTCTATTGAATGTCAAGGTGTGTTTGCGTTCATATTAAGTGTCGCATTATCTTTTACGCTCAGAACTGGAACTTCACATTCACATTTCTATACCACCTCCATTTCAAGAACTTTACTCATAATGTGACTCAGTAGACTTTTGAGGACTTTGCTAGTGATTAAACAAAATGAAAAAATACAGTTAAATAGGAAAGAAAATGCTCAGATTGGCAGTCTTATGAGGAACATTCTGTTCTCTTCAGTGTTTTTGGTTTTTGCATTCTTGGTAAAGTGTAATATTCTGAAAATGTAGGCCTATAAAATGTTTGCAGTCACTGATTCTTCTCACCGAATGCCGAAGCAAATAGTTTCAGACCAGAAAATTGTCATGCTAACTGCGATGTGTTGCATTCTGCTAATGAACAGTGTTTCAGCTGTGATCTGCACTAAAAAGTGAATGACTAGATGTGGATGTGGATGTGGAGTTTCTTAAAATTACAAATGCAAAGTGTTTGGAAACCCCTCAATTGCTGATAATACAAAATATGAATGTTTGGTAGATGAATAAACATTATTTGGGGCTTTAAAGTTGGCTTGGCCGTTGTGCTGTACCATATAACTGACCTAACCTACAGGTGTCCTAAATGGCAGAATGTGTAGTGTTTATAATCTGGACATAACAACACAACATAGTTATGCTGTATGCAAGCCTAATATGAATAAAATAAACCAGTAAATCTAAAAAAAAATAAAAATAATTATGAAGGCATTCATTACCAGAGAAGGTGCTGTTAAGAAGAATTCCTAGTCTTGGAATGTTCTCATTATATATTTATTTAATTATTCACCCAAGTAAGTAATAGTGTTAATCTCTGTATATTGTCTTGTTTTTCCTGCTCTCGTAAAACAGTGTTACCGAAAAGTTCGAACGTCACACAGATACACAGACACAAAACACTACAAGAGCACATTCACTACATGTATTTCTTTTTTAAAAACCAATAGGCAAAATAGCCCATGCCCCCGAGAGAGCCCATTAAGAAGGATGCGCCAAAGAAGGATGGTGGCTTCTTTTTTACCATTCGGAATGCATTGGGTAGAACTGCAGAGAGCAGGGTCGTGTGGATGTCCCCCAACACCTTGCGGAAAGCGTAGCGCGTCTGCACCCGCTCAAAAAACGACTGCAGGTTCGGCCGGCTCCCGTCCTCCCAGTATTTCTTTGAGAGTCCCAAGAACTTGAGCCTGTGCAATGTGGCTCCAAGAAAAATATCAGCTAGTGTAAAAGTAGGTCCACAAAGCCATAATTCACACTTCTGACCTGTGTAGAACGGAGATACAATTTGTAGATATTCTTTAAGATCAAAAACAGACGTTCTCAAAGCAGGGTTATTATAGTTAACTAAAACTAAAACCATGTAAAAAAAAAAACTTTTGTTACTTAAAATAAAATAAACTTTAACTGAAAATAAAATATGGAAAGAAAAAAAAACTGTTGCAAAAGCAACATTTCTCATTTTCATTTAGTTAATAATGTACTAAAATAACTAAAATGGAAATAAAAACCTGTACAGACATTAAAAAACGAATAAAATGACAAAAACAAAAGAAAATTACAAAAACTTTACCTAAAATTCTAATTAAAAAAAGAAAAATATAAAATAAACACAAATTCAAAATATTAATAAAAACTACAACTGTATATAAAAAAATTGTATCATAGCTAATATTAATAATGTGAAAAAAATACAGACTAACAAATGTGAATTCTTATGATTTACAGGAATTACATGACAAAATGAATCTATAAAAATAATGCAGTATTCACAAGATTTAATCAAAGATAATGTTTTAAAAAATATTTTGTATTTGATTTTATTTGAATAAGAAAATGCAATAAAATAAAACTTTATTTTAATTTAATTTAATCTTATTTTATTAAAACAATATAAAATAAGGTTATTATATTTATTAAATATTTATATTATTTTCTTATATTATTTTTTTAGTAAAAATAAATTAAATAAGTTTATTAAATAAGATTATTTTATTTTATTATGATTATGTTTTCATTTGTTGTTTTGTTTAAATATAATAACCAAAAATAAGTTTATTTTATTAGTATTTTAATGTTATTTATTTTAAGTGAACAGAAAACTTACCTTGATATTCCAGTTTTCTTTTTTCCAGCTCTGCCTCTGCTTGGTCTAGTACCATTGCCAACTCACCAAGAATTTTTTTCAGGTAGTTCACATTGTCATGGTCCAAGATCTTCGCCTACAATAAAAAAAGTATTCAAGACAAGTACAATCTATTATTTAATTTTCATATTAAGATATGACTGCAGTTTAATCTCATATTTCAGCAGTATCCATCCTGTGATACACATCATGTATGCTGACTTACCATGAGCTTTTTCTGCTTGGAGAGGTATGGTTCTGTCAGTTGCGGTTCTTCATGGTCCAACTTCATCAGTTCAGATGCTGCATTGGCCAAATGTCCTGAGAGAAATCAGACCGAATTGTCTAGTTCAGTAAAAGAGCTTTTGTCAGGTTACATATTTACATTCTAAACCCCCAAAACCGAGAAGTTATCCAGGTTTTGTAGGAGTTCCTTCATGATGAGTTGTTTATACTTAACATTGTCGAGCAGCACATTGTGAACTGGCACTGTTTTCTGCTCATTTTTTAAGGTTCCTGACAACTAATTAAGGAATTTAATAAGACTTTACACATAAAAGCAAAGCAGTAACTGTGATAAACAACACCTATCATAAACACTCCCTCCGAGTCATGAACTATAAAAGAGATTTATTTGCAACTATGCTGGGTTTCAGTGACATAATTTATTTAGCTGCAACTCATTGGCTGGATCAACTCTTTGGCTTTATTTGCGTTGTACTGTAGATCCACTTTCGATGAACTCTGTATAAATAGGCCAGCATTAGAGCATTTTGTCAACATTTGAGACAGCAATTTGCTTCAAAACTTCACTTCTGAGAAATAAAAGGATTCCCAGACTAAGCAGGTTTTGCAAAGAGTCAGATGCTTTGCTCTCTGTGCATTTCACAAAGAAAAATGTTCTTTAATAGGAATTAATGGTGCACTGAATTGTAGCATCACTTACTACGTATTTCAGCAGTGGCGTACTTTGGGATCATGGAGTCGGTTGTGAGTTCAGGGTGCAGGATGCATCCATGTGTGTAAGCATCCATAGGTAGCCCATCCAGCAGCTCACGGTACTGCTGTACCCTTGCATACATGGGAGTTCCTTCATCTGGAATCAGCTGGGCTACTGTGTCTGAAAGAAAAAAAGAACACACACAAAGATTTTTGAATATACATAAATACAGCCGTGACTTTTCTGATGTGGTCATATAATTAACCTGCTTGCCTCCTTATTTTCAAATTGGTCAATGATTGACCTTTCATACAAAACCCCAAAATAACCAAAACACAAGAATCATCAAAACTAAAGTGTGTTTTTTGTTGCAACATTTAAATCACAAGCCACTGATATTAACCCTGTAAAGCCTACTGCATCATATGTGACCCTGGAGCACAAAACCAGTCTTAAGTCGCTGGGGTATATTTGTAGCAATAGCCAAAAATACATTGTACAGGTCAAAATGATAGATTTTTCTTTTATGCCAAAAATCATTAGGATATTAAGTAAAGATCATGTTCCATGAAGATATTTTGTAAATTTCCTACTGTAAATATATTAAAACTGAATTTTTGATTAGTAATATGCATAGCTAAGATCTTCATTTGGACAACTTTAAAGACGATTTCCTCAAGATTTAGATTTTTTTGCACCCTCAGATTCCAGATTTTCAAATAGTTGTATCTCGGCCAAATATTGTCCTATTCTAACA